CTCGATAGTCTCACATCTCGATCGGTAGCAAGTTAAGAGAGGCGCAACGCCAGGAAGACGCAAGTGATGTAAGGAACAACAAAGAGCAAAGGAAAGAAAGATGCCAGGAGAGAATGCCCACGCTGGGTCTTAACTGTTAATGCAAGTAGAATGCCAGGAAAGTAGGAATCGAAAACAACACCCAGATCCCAGAAATTGCCAACCCGAACGGGCAGAGGCTCCTGTGGCCACTTGCGCGCGGTTGAAATTCAAATTATAGGCGGCAGCGAGTGAATCATGTCGAGACTCACAACCGAATGCAATGCACTCCACGCAGTCAGTGCGCAACAGAAAAGCAATTAGAAAAGCCTCGATCCATCAGGAGAAGCTGTCAGCCGATCATCTAACTAAACCCTGGAAATCATCTCATTTCAAAAGGAGAACAAACTCCATCCAACCTTATTAAATCGAAAGAACGCTGAACGGTCCAAGAATACGCCAAGAGCTATCACTAGGATGTAGAGGCGGGTAATGCATTGGTAAATGTCTTCGAAACTATGCAGAGAACCAACGGGCGGGTTGGCATCAAGAGCATGAAAGGGCGAAGAACTAGCCAGCAACACCCATGGGCCCAGCACCGGGACGAGCCCTGTATGGCATTGGCTGAGACTGTCCTTCGGCTTGCATAGGGTTCTGCTGGCTGCCATTACTGGTGCTTCTCTCACGATAGTCATTGGAGGCTGTAGGGGCCAGTTCTGTGCCAGCTTGTGGAGTACCACTGGTCGAGTGTTGATGACCACCGGGGCTTTGGACATGGCGAACTGAGCTTTGCATCTGCCATGCCGTGTCCTGGGAGGGATCTGTCTCAATACGGGCAGAAGTAGGGATATTGGCAGCGCGGTTCGAGTTCGTAATTGTAACGGTTTCGCCACCATTGCTCGCCTTGGGAGAAAAGCTTCCGCGCGCGATGTCGCCGTAGCGTCGAAGTATTTCCTTTGTTGTAACTTCGGTGTTCTCCTTGAAGAAAGTTGTGTCGCTAAGGACCGACTGTAGATCTTCGGGTATCTGTCCAGAAACCATGAGTATATGAAGACAACGTTCGAGATCGGAGAGAACAAACCTCGCACATGGTATCGTTGTATGTAATCAGGCAATTAACGGCTTCAATTGCCAGGAAACTCTCATCCACCGTGCTATTTTTCGCATTGGGGTAGAGAATATTGGGTGTCATGACTGTCGCGAGATTGTGTATGTCCATCTTACTACCGGACTCTTCATCGACGTGCGAGAAAGATGAAGTCCAGTTAAGGAAAGCAAAAAGTACTTCCATAGTATCCCGATGAGCCTTGGGAAGAAGACAACATGTAAGATGCAATACACGTTTTTGTTTCTCAGGGTCGGGTAGTTCTGTGATACAGTGGTAAGTAATGAAGGCTACAACATCAAACAGGACCGTCAGTCACTTACTTTGTGAAACAACAAATAGACGATGGAGCTTGAATGTAAGCAGAGGATCAGGCATCTCGCGAAGAAACTTCTTCAACAGCGCTGCAATCTGGACAGGATTCTCCTTCGTCATGTCCACCTGTTCATATTTGTTGTCAATCATTTCAGAAATGTCCTTCAAGCGCCTGATATTGCCGTTCTTTCGGAAGACACCTTCCACGGACATGTCCATTTGGCGCATGGCGGACACAGCGTCGTCGACCAAGGCGGGAATACGAAGCTGCCCTGGACCCACACCGTGACTAGATTCAGTGCCCTCTCTTTCAACGAGGAAATCCAAGTTTACCCCGAAAACGCCCTTCTTCTTCCCAACCTTCTTGCCTTCTTTATTGAAGGCGCGGCCGAAGATGTTCCATATGGTAGGCTTTCGTGATTCGATCAAGGAGAGTAGCTCCTCTAGCGTGAAATATTCACTCAACAAAGGCTCCATGGACAAGACAGCAACGTGCCGGACAATAAAGTATTCCAAAGCAGAAAGCTCAGAGAAATACTTCTTAGTCCTGCCACCTTGTTCGATAATGTGCTGGTCAAGACCTGCACCAGATACGCCACGCTGATGGCCATAATTGTATTTGGGAAGTGGTTCAGTGGTACCAACCAGCTTGGTGCCGGCGTGTTTGTAGGCGTTGGGACGCTGCTCTTTAGCTTGCTCGGCAGCAACGATTCTGGGTATGTCGTCCAACGTCAATGCATCCTGGTTGCCAAACGTCAGCTCGGTGACCGTTTCCCCGTTGGCATCTCTTTCTTCTACAATCTGGAAACCATGACCCCTTGGGTCTGATCCTTCGCCACCCGATGAACCAGGTCGTACGCTACGGCCTTCAGGCCCGTCGATGATGCGAGACGCTCTAGCCTTCTTGTAAGTAGTTGAGAGGGTACGCTCATTCCGGATGGAACGTAGACGACGCATTTCGCCGACAGTTTGTTCAAGTGAAGATCCCTCAGGGGCGTTTCTAGTGGCATTTGCGTATGATTTGGATCTGGTCGCTGATCGGCGCATTTCGCCGCCAGGGGGGATGCGACCGCTTTCGTTGCCATCTTGTGGGGGGGAAGCGTCGCCTGGAATATGAGTCAAATGAGATTAGAGATGATGTTATGATGAGGAAGAGGATATACGAAAATCACGATGACATACCGGAACCAAGACTTCCACCCGCTCTGAGAACAGCAAGAAGTCGCGCAAGAGCAACCTTGAGGAGGAAGACAAATTGCTGGAGCTTCGTAATATGGGTAAAGCCCCCTTGGACGTCGTGCATAAGTCCGTTCTGAGAAACGCAATCGGTACAGAAAGAACGCTTCTCCTTAGGATTCCACAGCGCATCTTGGAGAGTATGAGACAGCTCCTTCTGGCATGACGCACAAGTGAGATGAGGTGGCTTTATATGCCACCTGCTATCACCCAGCATGACGCATTCGTCGTCAATAGGCTCTTTGCAGGCCGTACAACAATCCGAAAGCTGATCAGCGAGAGTGTCGACACCGGTCATAAGATCAGCAAGCGTCTCCTCTTCTTCAGGCGGCCTGAGTGTCTCCAAGTCTCCCAAATGATCTAGGAAATGGTGTAGGCCTTGAGAAGCTTGCTGCTCTCTCTCAAGCTTGAGGGCTCCTTGCAAGCCAATGCGAATAAGCAACTTCAGGTAATGCGCAAGACCGGTGACCAGAGACAGGAGCTCTTGGGTAACGCCGAGTTTGCGGACGCCAGTTTCCTGTGTTTTCGAAAGTAGTGCGAAGAACGCAACTATCTTCTTGCACAGAAGCTTTGCTTCACGTCCGTAAGCCAGATCTGGAGTCAACATTGTTAGCTATTGGTAGTTCTAATAGAAGGCAGAGATCAGCCATTGCAACATACCTTTCATGCCCTGTTCCTTGATATGTCCCGCAAGCTGATCAATGGCCGAGAAGAGAATATCAACATGACCAATGAACCTCTTGGCGACAAGGACACCATCCAGGTAAGTGCCGTTGCTAACGTGAAGGAGCATATCTGAAATGCAGGCTGCGGATGATTCCTCGAAACTGGACAGGATACTCCAGATTTTATACACCTTTTCTTCCATTATGTCCTCCTCTTCACGCACTCTATTGCGCTCCTCATCCGTTGCGTCCGTCTCGACTTCCGGCGGTTCAAGAGGCTGGCCTGTCGGGGCCAAACGGACATTCCAGAACTTGTGAATCATGTAGCACTCAGGGTGCCAATGCTGATTCTGCCCGTTGCGGAAGATCTCCACGAATTGTTTCAGAATTGCTGTGTGACAACCATGGCATCGTTGTGCGAACTGTGTGGAGTAGTGGAAGTGACAATACACTTTCCCTTCATGCTCGTAGTAAGAGTCTTGTGCACCAAAAACTGTGGGACAAACAGAACAGGTGAAGTGCTCGATGTGATACTTGCGTTCCAGGGCGGTAATATACGAGCCACGCAGAGCACCACCACACTCATGGCATAGAAGATCTAATCGCCGGAAGTAGTCCGTTTCACATAGGGGGTATTGACCACTGCCATCTTCGGCATCGACAGGGAAGAACTTTGACGCCACGATTTGGCCGCAGTCCTATGTTCAATAGAGTTAGCTGAGATTGAAGGAGATTTCATAAACCTGAGTACAGACCTCGCACTTGAAACACTCGAGATGATAGGTTGCTTGCAGAGCCCGTACGAACTGGCCAGTCAATGGTTCGCCGCACTTCTTGCAGATCCGAGACGAGCTTCCTGGGGACTTCGTCGGTGGCCGGCCATTCGGACGGGATCTCTCTCGCGGCGTAGATCGGTCCCAATAGCCATTGCGATCCCGGGGAGTTGACGGATCTCTGGGGCCTGGGTGACCAGACTCCAGCCGCCGGCTCATACGACTGTCAGAGCCCTGTGGCCCCTCAACAGGGCTATTCGTGGAGCCATTCCATCCTCCCGTCCTTGTACGGGGCGAGTCAAAGATAATATTGCTATCTGCGGGAGATGTAGGCGTTTGCGACTGATAACTACCACCACCATAGCCGCTGGTGTTGAGTTTCGGGCGGACAGCCCCGTTGCCCGGCACGAGGCTGTCCGGCAAAGGAACGTCGCCGGGAGGCATGTCCGTGGAGAACTATGCCTTTCTGCTAAGTATCTGGGAGAGTAGGGCCTGGCTGGATGGGTTGTCTGGACGATACTCGAGAGTGTAGATGATATTGGTGCCAATCAGGTGAACTAGGGCCGAGTTGGTGTAGACGCTGGAGGGGGAAAGGAGAATCTAGTGCGAAAACGGAGGAACCAGGGTGCTAGTCGTTAATGTCGCGCGTCTAACTTAAGGACTTGCCTTCTGCAGAGTGTACAATGTTAGCATAAGGGGCAATCTTCCGGGATTCGTTCGCGCGGGGTTGTCCAGGAGAATTGACGGCTTTCCCGTAGCAACTCACCTCACGCCATGTAGATGGAAACCTGCGGGGAATATCGATGGAAGGAATCGGGGCGCGTGATCAAAGTAAAACCATAAAATCGCTCAAAGTAGCAGGTGAATTTCAAGTCGATTTGGGGAGAAGTGCCTCCAAAAGCGCAACCGCCCGCGTCGAGGGAAGCGGAATGGGGAAGGGTTGGAGCTCAAAGTGAGACCAACAGGCGGCGGAGTGCGCTGTCTGGAATCACAACCATTCCTAATCCCTTCCAGAGAGACTTTTTGGTGGACGGCCTGAATCCGAAGTCGAGGGAGACGGGCCGGCAAATCAGAGCAGGAGAAGTAGGCTCAAGTCGAGTCTAGGATGCCAGCTCGAACGAGTGAAAGCGAGGGCAGGAAATCGCGTGTTTTGGGAAGAGTGAGTGTGCTGCTGGCAGTTGTCGCTCTGCCCCCCTATGCTTCATGTTGCTGGTTGCCCGCTAGAGACCATCACGTGAAAGGGGTCACCGCCTGGCACACCGCCAAAGAAGGCGCTTCCATGGCTCCTTCACTTGTGGATGTATTACCAGACACGGTAACCGTTCCAGTGTTCACAACAGCCTACTTTGGGGGGGGGAGGTTAGGGGGAGGCCCAAGGTACACCCCAAATTCAGTGGTTGGATGGGAGAAGTGTTTCGTGTCAAATTAAAATCTTTCATGAACTAGTTATATTGAGGTGATGATTATACTATCAAACAGACAAAACGCTCCGCACATCAACTACTGAGCCTACCTTCTTTCTTGTTCATGGTAAATTAAATTAGGAAACACAAGGTACCCGGCAGTACACTTTGAGGTGCTGGCAGAAACAGACCCTTGTAATTTCCAGGGATGTGGAGACCTCAGGATCATGCCGACTGCCATAGTGGGTAGTGATGGCAGGTGAACGGCATGGGCGCTGTGCATGCTCTTCTCCCAAGGATGAACAGAGTCGAATCCCTCTCTCAGACATCCCAGGGGGGGGGGTGAGGGTCTTCCCTTTCATACATACCTTTACCACCACGCGCTTCTATTTTGGCGAACCTCGTCTTTCCCACGCGGCTTTCTGGTCGTTGGATCATTCCCCGCATCCTTTTCTGCTTCTTCCCCTTATTCATCACGGGCTAGAGCCACTACCTAATCGGGCAATGCTAATTCTTAGGGGAAGCGGGCGAATGCCCAATCGCTCGTTATTCTATTGAAGCCTTAGACTACTACGGTTTTTCTTAGCAAACACATACTCACGAAGCCAGCATACGCTGCTTTACCGGACAAACATGCATGGAGTAATAGCTCCCTGCTGTATTCCTCCCTTTTCTAGCGAAGAGCAGTCACTCCATCTGCTTGACCTAACAGGTAAAGATGTACAGCGCCATATCTCTTTTCATCGATTGTCGACCAACGCACTGGGCGGAGAAATCTCTGCAGCGATGAAGGGTAACTAACCATGCTCACGGCGGATCTTAGAGTTGGCACCTTAAATATAGCTCTCACTCATGGTGGTATTGATTTAGGAATCCTTAGCGAATGTGTCTTACGATTTTACAAATATTCCATTTACCCTGACCAATGCACCAACTGTGGATAATTTTCGCTTCAATAATAGATAGGGAGCCAAGAACCCTTTCTCCAACGCTGAGAAACGTTTTCTAATCCCATACGGCTTTCGCCAATTACACCCAAGTGTCATACTGCCCAAGCTGACTTGCGATTCCTAACAGTTCATGCTTCTGTGGTTTCTTTTAGTATAGATCAGAGGTGAATAAGGTGGAGAATATCTGTGACCAGGAGAAACTTTGAGGGAGCAAGGTGCCGTGGATTGCTTGCGATAACCATGCTTCTCACCGAGAATAGGCGTTAGCCAGATTGCGGCTTGATACCGATGGGACTCGTGTTGCGGATTTGCATTCCTGAAGCATTCTCAATCCTGCTGGTGTACCACCTTTCCGGTTGTACATGGAAATTCTTGAAAAGTTGGTTGGCAGCGGGGTTGGTAACCGTTCCTCATTGGGCTTGATACACGGCACTGTACTCCAGAATACTCCGTCGGGGTGGCATCAAAATCTTCATCATGGCAAGCACCGTCGATCCAGAAAAGATGAGATGTAAGGGGCAATTAGGAGGATCGGCACAGCAGAAATTTTAGGAGCCTTGAACAAGACCCCGAAAGTCACAAGCCAATCGAGGGATTTTGGCTGTAATGAGGTTGAGGGGCTTGTACGCGGTGGATTATGAGATTAAGAGGGGTTGGGGATAGTCCAGTAGATGATAGTAGTAATGGCGAGTCAGAGAAAAGAATGGGTGGTTTCTCTTTGGAAACCCAGCCATTCATGATTCCACCCCTCCCGCCTTGCCTAAACGGGCATAACACCAGGGTCCTGTCAGTGGTCAGTAGTGAGGAGTTATTTTATTTCCACTGGGTGTGTTTATTTTTGTCTCCTCGAAACATCATCCGTCCAAGGACGGATCCGTGTCTCCACCTCTGCGGGCGGTGAGACAGGGGCTGTTTCCATGGGTCGTGGCCTCAGTCCCCTTGACCAATCTTGACCTGGCAAGAGTTGTGCTAGACTGACTACTACTACTACTACTATGGAGTAATCCGTCGATCAAAACCCGGACGAGTATCTATCTACTAACCACTGTATGAAGTGAACTAATGGAAGATATGCAACTTGCTGGACTACTAACTTGGGCTTCCTTTTGTAGTCTTTCTATGCACAGTATATCTCCATAGTATTCATTGCCCTCGTACGAATCAATTTGTGCCAAGAGTTGTGACAGCTAGTAGTGGCTTGCTCATCGTGGACTATTATCGTCTTGATCTTACCAGATGCTCTTCTTGAAGATGGTTCTGGTATTGGCTATGGAGTCATAGAATTTAAGGCCTGACACAGAGGACTTGAGCAGAGTCTCGCAACTGCGACATTCACTCAGGTGAATTGGCGCTCGAACATTGACATGTATTAAATACGCAAGTCAGTACATAGTTTCATGCATGTACTCCGTAGAGCCGTCGCATGGGTATTGTTTTTTTCTTACGTGCACCTGAGCATGCAGCCTTCTATTTTGCCTTTGCACTAGCCAGAAGTACTTCGTACAGGTCAGATTTAGGCCTCTTCGCCAGTTCTTGAGAATCTTCAGTCCGTCCTTACTATGTTCCTGGAGCCGTTGGAAAATTGACTCAGACTGATCTCACTCAGATAGTTAGCCTGCACTGCCTGGTTTCCCCGCCATCAACTACGTTACGGCGTTGATGATCATACCCACCATCAACACGCTTCTGTCTCTCCCTGTTTCTTCAACACTCCAGCCTAGTGATCCCGGGCCCCGTCAAGCCGTCTCCCATTTTGGACTTTCTCGGTCGTCAGGATGTCGGACCAGGCGATCCTACGTATTACCAGGGTATCACTCCTCACCGCATCCTTCTAAGCTTCGCTGGGCTAATGGGTCGTCTTACCTTGGCGGGGTTTCAGGAAATCAAGCAGATTCAGCAAGGCGCAGACCACTGTGGGTACTCCACACTCTACTAATAGTAGTCGGAAATCGGTTCCATCGAATCCCGTCGATGCTAGCACTGGCTTACAATAGTCTTTGGCCTTCCCATTCTGATTCTTTGCATTAGCTCTCGCTGTATACTACGATGACTCTGATATCCGGAGTGTCCGCGCTCTCATTCTCGGCCCTCCAGATACTCCCTATCAGTTCGGCTTCTTTGAGGTTCGTTTCTACTTCTTCGGTAATATCAATATCAACTAGTTTTAAAGAGCTCTGTGTTAATCTCCGGCATGATATACCTTAGTTTCTTGTCAAGTTCGGGAAAGGTATATTATCACCATCTTGTGGGAATACATAAACGTGTGGACAAGTGGACTAAGCTTCACAGACTACCCAGCCACATCTCCGAATGTCCGCGCCTTGACCACTAACGGTGGTCGAAGCCGCTTTAACCCCAACATCTATTCATCTGGCCGGGTCTGCTTGTGAGTTGAGACTCTCGGAGTTGCTCATGATCCCTACTAATAAAACGGTGATGAATAGATCAATTTTGGGGTACAGATACAGATGCCTATATATATATCAACTGCGAGAGCCTGGCTAACGGACATCTTTGTAGAACCTGGCGAGGTGAAAGTGGAGAGCAATGGTCGTCTGCGCAGTGCTTAGAGTCTCTTCTTATCTCCATTCAGAGCTTAATGTCGTCTAACCCCTACGAAAACGAACCCGGATATGAAAGCTCACGGTCACCGAGCGATATAGAGAACATGGAAGCCTACGTATCCAAGGTAATAAGGGCTTACATACCCTTCTGAGGTTAGAACATTCTTGACCAGGTTTCCAGATACACCATGAAACTCTCCGCCTCGCCGTTCTCGAGCCTCTTGAGGCATCGCTCAACATAACACTTGAAGGTAGTACGGACTCGCTAGCCGACCCATCATCTGAAAGCGATGATAATATCATCTATGAGGATGGGAGGCCTTCTTTTGACCCGTTTGCGGATTTTCGCAAAAGACGTTTCTTGTGGTATTACGAGCCCTACATGCAATCTCTTGTTGCTGCAGAGAAGAAACACTCCCGCAAAGCCAAATTCCAGAGAATGCCTTTTGAGGGCGACAACAATAGTATGGATGGCCATTTCGACTATCCGGAGCTAAAACGGCGGATGGCTGTGGTCAGAGATGCCATTCTTCGAGAAACACGCGGTTGGGCTGTCGAAGGACAGTTGGCCAAAAAGCAAGAATGGGGTATTGCAGCTAGCCTGCAACGGCAGTACGAACAAATTGTCGAAACCCTCAAGCATCAGAACAATATTACGGTTGATCTATATCTTGACGAGGGGAACCCATTCATGTGGAGGCTCACATATTTTGGAAGACCAATGACGCAACTGGATGGCGGCATGTTCAAGATCCTGATACATCTAAGTCCGCGATTCCCGGAAGAACAGCCCCGTGTGTTTTTGGAGGCCTCGTCTTTCTTTCATATTCGTGTGTCCAAAGAAGGAGTCTTATGCTACGTTCCAAGGCGAACTGAGGAGATGCGTTATCACATCGAAGGGATAGTCGCAGCTCTAGAAGAAGAACACCCGCCTTATGACCCACGAACTACTGTTAACCCCGAAGCAACCAAATTATTTTGGGGAACACCGGAAGATCGAAGGAAGTATAACCGAGAATTGCGACGATCAGTAGAAAGGACCGCGTAAGTTACCATCCACGTTGGCGAGTTTAAAGACAGTCTCATTGATGAAAGAATACAGCGAAACATAGAAATCCTGAGCCTATATTGGTCTAGGTTAGTGAAACAGTGGGGTGCTCAGCTAGATGATCCTGTGCTCCGTTTCTTGCAGACTGATATCTTGGCTAAGATGACCTCAATATCGGGCCTCTACTTCCTCACTGCTTCTTCAAGCATCCGTTCCCAGACTTTCAAGCCGCTTATTACGTAAAGGGTAAAAAAAGACCCCCCATGGGATACAACACTGAGATCTCAGCTGTTCTGTAGTGGGTGCTACAAGAATCGAAAGGAGAGTCCCCATTTGGATAATGCATAGTAGTGGTCATATAAGATCTGCCTCCTTACTAGATTGTTAATAAGAAGTGTTAATAAGAAGTACGATAGTTGACGCAATGGCCCTTAAAGCTGCAAGCCACACCCGTTAAATAACGAAATTGTAATCAGATCGAACATGAGATCCGTTACTGAATGGATGGGCAATACTACAAATAGGCGCCAGTCAAATATCTCGGTTCCATAAAGTGGAAACTCACGTGTGGCTTCTTTGCGGGGGGTCCGAGCTTTAACCCGGAGATTCTGTCCGGAGGCGGAAACCATCGTCGTCCCCCAAACCTTCAGGCCTCGCAATTTCTCCTGTTTATTATCTCTTACCCCAACCACCGACCACGGATAGTTAGCTCTATATATATCACAGCTTACTGTCATACTTCAAAATGTCTACTCGACGTCCTACAATGGAACTGGGCACTGTCCTAGTGGTTGGTGGCTGCGGGTTCGTGGGTTGGCACATTGTTGATCAGTTGCTCAATTTCCCCTCGGAGACAGATCCCAGTGTCGCTCTTCCCAAGCCTCAGAATGACCCCAGATTTGTTTACCCCAAGCTGGGCGATCGATACCCTCGGTGCATCGCGAAAGTAGCTGTTGTCGACCTGCGAACGACCCACAACCGTCTTCCGGGTGCCGAGTATTATGATGGCGACATCACGTCCGAAGAGTCCATGCTGGCCGTTTTCCGCGCGGTCAAGCCCGACATTGTTATTCACACCGCTACGCCCAACGTTCTGGAAGGGAACAAGCCCTTGTTGCGTAAGGTCAATGTGGACGGAACTAAAGTCTTGGTGGAAGTTGCGGGCGGTGCCCGTGGTGACTGGGGCGGAAAGTGCAAGGCGTTTGTATACACCAGCTCGAGCTCTGTCGTGCACGATACCCAGAGTGACCTCATCAACGTCACCGAAGAGTGGCCTCTTATCCGGGGGCCATTGCAACAAGAGTATTATTCAGAAACCAAGGTGCGTTATGTACCCCTTTTTTTCTCGTTCTTGGGATAGGTACTGACCAGGTTTCACCCTCTTAGGCGGACGCCGAAGAAATCGTCTTGAAGTATAACCGCGCCTCTCCAACCTCGATGGTAACATGTGCCCTTCGTCCGGCTGGTATCTACGGTGAGAAGGATACGACCTTCACCTTCAAGGTCCTGGAGCACTCGTCCAAAGCCTCCCCGGCCGTCCTCCGCATGCAGTTAGGCGAGAACAACAACTTGTTTGATTTCACGTACGTTGGAAACATTGCATACGCTCATACGTTGGCTGCATACCGCTTGCTCGCTACCTACTCTCGGTATGAAGCTGGACAGGGTGCTCCCCTGGACCATGAGCGGGTTGACGGCGAAGCGTTCAATGTCACGAACGATTCCCCGGTCTACTTCTGGGACATGACACGTGCTGCCTGGGCATTGACTGGCAAGGTCGTGGAGCCTCACCAGGTGTGGGAGCTCCCTGAGGGCGTTCTAGGCCCTATTGGTGGAATTGCAGAGACGGTGCTGGGCCTGCTCGGCAAGACACCTCGTTTAACTAGAAGAACCGTTCGCTACTCATGTATGACTCGTTACTACTCATGCGACAAGGCCAAGTTCCGACTCGGATATAGACCTGTTGTACCTGTGTACGAGGGTCTCGCTCGTGCAGTCGGGTATGTGGTGGAACAGGAGCGGGTGGCCGGTGAAAAGAAGTCGTTGTAATCTCGGGCTAGACTCTGATGGTTTCTGTACGGATGTATATGTTTATTAATGTAATATATAAGTAATTCCTCCCGATTTCCGTATTTAGGCGCGTTCTCTCATACTTGTTGTTCCTGTATATAGTCAGATGGACTTTTGGACGACACCTTGCTAACCGACCCCCAGGCAATTTTGGGCTGGCCATGAGACCCAACACCGGGTGTCTAATTCTGCGAGACCCTTGCGATGCTGAGATCCCTCATTATCTTCCGAGTGGGATCAATTGAGGCGTCTCGTATACTCCATCGGCTTCTGTCCCCTTGGCTCTAGCGCCGAATGGTACTCAATAAAGTTTTGTAACAACGCCCCGAGCAGATTGGCCTACTTCATTTCGAACCCTGCCGAATAATATGCCCGAGTCCGGAGATACGGTGAAGCATTTCCTCAATCTTTTGGTCCGGCTTTCGAACCGAAGATGATACATGTCTTTGGCAGAGCTTTCTTGGGGAAACCTACCGGTCATTAACTATGAAAGGACATGGTAGATTATACTTGAAGCTATGGATCTTAACTTGCTCGCAGGACCGAAGGAAAGCGAATTACGTTAGATATTCACTGTTGCCCTATTTGCGATAATCGTCTAATTCCTGCCAAATCAACTTCCCTTATTCTGTCATACATTGAACCTTCGTGTTGGTTCCACATCCTGCACCATATCATCGGTTCTTTCCCCTCCCCTGCTGGGATGTGAGCCGACTTGATTCGCTGCTGATTGGAGCATCGGAAGCCGACAGAAAGTTGGGGGGCTCGTGTGAAGAAGTGGGATACCAGCATGGATGCGAAAGTTCCCTTGTGATATGGGGGATGGTCGTCACCATGGAGGGATAATCATTGAACACCACAACATCGCTAACGATGAGGTGTTGAAACGGAACCTGGAAACTTGAAGGAAACATTTTGGTGTCAATCTGCAGTGCGCTTAAGTCGCAGTTCGCGTCAGGTCTGGATTCCTTGGCTCTGAGAATGCGCTGGCTGTCTTTGTCCTTGCAAATATAGGTGTCATCGGCCTCTTGAATAACAGGCAAGATGCTGGATGGAATGATCATGCTATACCTGACGGATTAATACCGTTCATTGGTCGTTGGATGTCACTGCATGGCGCAGGAACAGGTCATTCAATGGTATATTCTTTCCTCATCCGGCAGGAATCAATGGATCCGCCGCTGTGATACAACTACAGTACATCTGTCCCAAAGTACCGCGCAATCCTTCCCGATCAGTTTGTTCGTCGCTCTTATTTTTAGAGATTTCATGTATACTTATTCCGTGGGCTTCAGCGGGATGCAGTGATCGGTCTAACGATCAGGATTATGCCTTGGATGCCTGAAAAGCCTGTTCTTTCGCTAAACGAATGCTCTCATCATATGGGCCTTGGTCGAATGTCTTTCCTTACGACCTGTATATTTGTCCTATTGGCCATTGCTACCACTGCGTTAGGGTTTTCGGGAGATTATCTGGACGATGCCGAGCAAGGTGTCCCGGGGCTAGATGCCTCCTTCGACTACGTGGTTGTCGGTGCCGGGGCTGGGGGCTTAACTTTGGCAGCTCGTCTCGCACAACATAGATACAGAGTAGCTCTGGTTGAGGCGGGAGGCTTCTACGAGCTCAAATATCCCCTAGCTGCGGTTCCAGGAGCTGGGATCATTGGCATAGGGAGCGATGTGAACAGCTCGACACCCGTGGATTGGCGATTTGTCGCCTACAATGTCCCGGGAGCCAACTATCGCGACCTTCATTACCCCAGAGGCAAATGTCTGGGGGGATCGTAAGCTCACTTCGTCTCTCACTTTCGTCTTCGTTTCCATACGGGCAACGCTAATTTTTTGACCCCTCTACAGGACAGGATCCAATATGATGGTCTATCAAAGGTTCGAAACCACTCGCCGGGCAATTCACGGAGGGCAGAACTGACATTGGTGCTAGGCCGAATAGAGAGGCAATGCAAAGATGGGCTGAGCTCGTGGACGACAATAGCTACACTTTTGACCGAATTCTTCCTTTCTTCCAACGCACGGCTAACTTCACTCCGCCCAACAACGACATACGGCATAGCAATGCCACAGCAGCGTTCAACCCGAGTGCGTTTGATGAACGGGGCGAGCCTCTGCAGGTATCCTACCCTGACTTCGCCGTACCGTTTTCGAGCTGGATAAAGCGCGGTATGGAGTCTGTAGGCATTCCGAAGATCGAGGACTTCAACAGCGGGTTCCTACTGGGCGCTCAATACTGTGCCCTGACCATCGACCCACACAAGAAGATCCGAAGTAGTTCAGAGGCCGCTTTCAAAAGCTCTTCGATACCACACCTAATGACTCTTGCACTGTACAAGAAGACAATGGCAAAGAGAATACTCATCAACACAGAAAGGCGAGCTACCGGGGTGGAAGTAAGGACTGGGGACTTGATATATATATTACGAGCCACCCGGGAAGTCATAGTGTCAGCCGGGGCATTCCAGAGCCCTCAGCTCCTGATGGTATCTGGAATTGGTCCAGCTAGTGAGCTGAAAGAGCATGGTATTGAGGTCGTTGTTGACCTTCCCGGAGTAGGGCAAAACATGTGGGATCATGCTTTCTTCGGGCCCGCCTACCGAGTTGCGCTTCCAACAAGCACCAGGATTGCTACTAACTTTCTTTACTTGACTGAAGTAGTCGTCCAGTATTTAGCAAACCGCACTGGTCCACTGACAACCCAGGGAATTGATTTCTTGGCTTTTGAGAAGGTCCCAGATGAACTTCGATCTCACTTCTCGGATGAGACGATCCGGGATCTATCCTGGTTCCCTCCTGGCTGGCCTGAGATAGAGGTATGCTCTCTGCACGAAGTCTTTGAACATGGCTAACAGTGACCCTTGAAGTACATTCCAGTGGCTCTCTATCTTGGAGATTTCTCTGATCCTATTAAACACCAACCGCAAGATGGGGCGCAGTATGCGTCAATCGCCGGAGCATTAGTCGCACCCACATCCCGCGGGAATGTCACCATCATTTCAGACGACACAGACGACCTGCCAATAATCAATCCCAACTGGCTTGCAACCAAAACAGACGAAGAAGTGGCTGTTGCGATTTATCGAAGAAATCGCGAGATTTTCCAGAGTCCGGG